CCTGCCCACTGCCCAGAGCCAAGGTGGGGGACAGAGGTGAGGCCGCCTGCCCACTGCCCAGAGGTGAAGCCGCCTGCCCACTGCCCAGAGCCAAGGGCGGCTGCAGGCTTGCCAACAGTAGGGTTGTGCACTTTAATACACTGTGCCAGCGAGGACAGGCTCCCCAGCGTCCCTGTCCTTCCTAGGGGACATCAGCAGATGATATCCACAAAGATGACTGCAGAGGATTTTCTGTCAGGAGAACGGAGGTCTCCGGCCTCAGTCTGCCCCCTGGAACCTCCGAGGCAGTCTGCACCCTCTGGGAGTCCAGCCACTGTTGGGTGGCCCTGTTCCACGGAGATGTGACCAGCCTGTGAGGTGGCTCTCCACCCCTGTGTCGCCAAGCTGAAGACTGACGCCCTCCAGAGCAAGGTGCCGGCAGACTCCAGACAGTGCGTCTCAGGTGACCATCACCACCTCCTTGCTTTCTCTCCAGCCTGTCCACTTCTGGCAGTCACGCTATGGGGACGGCTGCCCAGGTTGAGCACAGGCCAAGAAAAGAACCTGTGTGTCATTCATGATCTGAAATGCAGGGACAACTAGACCGTCACCCGTAAAGTGGAGAATCAGATGACCCTAAGTGTGGTGGTACTCAGAGGAGCACATGGTAAGCCACCAAGACAGCCAGTCTTGCTACAGTGTCCCCACAACACCATTTCTGTGCAATGACTAAGGGGTGCTCCTTTTTTCTTCCTTTCTTCCTTTCTTTTTTTTTTTTTTTTTTTTTGGTGTTAGGTATTGAACCCAGGGGTGCTTTACCACTGAGCCACATCCCCAGCCCTTTTTATTCTTTATTTTGAGACAGGGCCTCACTGAGTTGCTGAGGTTGGCCTTGAACTTATGATCCTCCTGCCTCAGCCTCCCGAGTTGCTGGATGTGAAAACGTGGCCCCTGCGCCCGACCTCAGTGTGCCCTCGTGTGGAAACCRGCCTCTTCTTGGTGATTGTTTTAGGGGATGTGGGACCAGGCAGCACTTTCGTTTTAACTTCATTTTTTTCAGAGTAGTTCACGGTGAACCTGCCTGATTTCAACTGCCATGAAAGCACAGAAACAAGCACAGTATAGAATAAACGTCGAGGTGACGTCATTTATGGTGGACAGTTTGTYGTTTATAGTAGACATTTAGCTTGTATATGCATTAAATACTCCAGAAGTACATGTGATACTTAAGAACGAGGTCAGAGAAAGAGTCAAAGTCTTTTGCAGTGGTCATGGGTCACAAAAATGTTTATCCAAAAAAGAGAGATGCCCAGATCATCACATCTTGGAAGCCCGAATTCACTGGCAAACTCTGCTTTTCTTCTGTTCAAATGAGCAGGTACCTGAAGCTGTACCATGTGTATTTTTCATGAGCTCAAGATGACTCTTTCATCTTAGTGAACGGAGGAAGCACCCCTCTTTTCCCGGGCACCTGCAGATCTGGGGGTGGGTGCAGTGCCGTCTGCACTGCTGGGTGCCCGTGGTGCCCTCACTGGGGAGCAGACCAGGCCACGGAGCTCGTGCCCTCAGGGAACATCTGCAGAGGTCAGCCGTCCAGCCGGAGAGGAGGCCCTTGTGAAGGGCAGCCCTGGCCTTCTCTCAGGACTGAGCACCAAGGCCGGACCCAGAGGTGGGCAGGTCTCCTGGGGCTTCGAGGAGGAGCAGGGCTGGGCTCAGCTGAGAGCGCTCAGCAGCCTGAGGACCCACAGCCACAGGCAGTTCAGCAGGTATAGAGCCGGCTGCCCCACCCTGTGGGGGGCCCTGGAYGAGGTGTGGACCCTGGCCACAGGGCACAGCTCAGGGCTGCAAATCTCGCTGCTTTCAGAGGCTTCCTCTCCCACAGGTGGTGGCCTCCTGGTCTCTCGACCTGCTCCTGTCCCTGCCTGAGCTCTCCTTCCCCATCTGTGACATGGGGTCGTGGGCTCTAGCTGGATGGCAGATGCCCTTAAAGGCACTTTCTCAGGACTCCATTTCTACCTCCTCCCAGGGCAGGCTGACTGCAATGGAGCACAAGTAGGGTGTCCACTCACCAAGCCCAGCAGAGAGCAGGCTTCCCTGGGACTGCCACCTCCCGGTGCAGGCAGGGAGCCGCTGAACGGGTGCCCCAGCCTGTTAGAGGTGGGTACGGGGTGTTTCCTTTGATGGCAGAGACTGAGGCCCAGAGAGGTTGAGACCTGCTGAGGTCACACAGCAATGCAGGGCAGACAGGGTACGCAGATAAAGGTAAAGGGCACACAGACTCTGGTTGGAGCCTGCTTGGAGCAGGGGAGCTGCTCCAACTGGCTCAGGAGAACACTCAGCCTCGGAGGACGACAGCAGCACGTGGCCAGAGCCTGCTGGGTGGCCCAGGGAGGTGGCCACGGAAAGGCCTGCCTCTCACCCATTCCCCTTTCTTTAGAAGAGAGAGTTGCCATGTTTGGGACCCACTTCTCATTGAGGAGCAGAAGGACACAGTGGGGACAGTACAGTAGGAGACAGGATTCCAGGCCTCCTCGGGACAGGGGACAGCCCCAGGTGGACACAGGCCTGTGCCCATTGGCTGCAGGAACACTGCACCCCTCTCGGCACCTGGGCTCTGCTGCACTGGGGACAGAACAGAAGACCATGTGGCTCCGTGGCCTCCTGCCCCACACCCCCAGGGGCCTGCAGGCTTCTCCGAGTGCTGCTAGTTACAGAGGGCAGCAGGTGGCCGGCTGCGCTGGGTGCAGGGAGCCATGGTGTGCTCCAGCTTCAGCCCAGAGCGGAGGGGCCTGGCTCCAGGCAGCCTGCTCGGTGAGAACTGTGGGCACACTGCCTGGGGGGTCCGTGTGCTCAGAGAGGGGCACTGGGAGCAGACCCTCTGCTCACGCCTCTGCTTCCCCCCCACCCTCCAGCTCCCTGCTCACCGTCACCCTGTAAAAGCACCTGATTGGCTGCCACAGGCTCACGGGGCCAGGCTCAGAGAGACCCCCGTGTGCCCACGTCATGTGCCTGCCCTGGAGCTGGCCAGGATCCTGACATTCCCGCCGTGGGATAGGCATGTGCTGGGGACAGGCCCCCTGCGAGGACACAGGGACCCAGATGAGCACGGACATCCCAGATGCACTGCACAGAGCTCTGAGCGGGAAGGTGCCCTCCAGAGCCTTCAGGACCTGCAGCCTCAGTGCCCAGAGCTGGGGCCCCACTGGGCATCCTCTGGGACAGGACCTGATCCCAGGCACCCAAACCAGAACCACAGCTTTGGAGCCAGTCTGGCCGTCCAGGGACAGCGATCAGTGGCCCCTGAAGGCAGCTCCAGGGTTGATTTGGGACTGTCTGGGAGGCCTGGGAGCCCACAGGGACCAGAGCTGAACCCTTCGTCCTCTCAGGACAGTGCCACCCCAGGCTGAGTGAGCTCTGCCTTGGAGACATTTATCATGGCGGATGGCACCGAGCCCAGGCAGGAGGTGTGTGGGCCTGGTGCCTGGGGGCTCGGCCCCTGCTGCGGCTGGGGTCTTACTGCAGGTTAGAAGAAGGGTAGGTCTGGAGCTGAGTGAGGTCTTCCAGGACTGAGCCCAAGTACAGCTGAGCCTTGGAGGGGCGGGGCAGGGCAGGGGAGCCCACCGCCCAGAAGGGGCAAGACGCAGCTGGACCCCCGCGGGGTAGAAGCTGGCTGTACCACTCCCGTGAGACCCTTCAAACAAGGCTGCTGGCCACAGGAAAGGCAGAGGTCTCTAGCCACTGCCACTGGCCACCACCTAGAAGGTGCTCTGTGAGAACCACCGCTCCAGACCAGGCCCCACCCGGCCACTGTCCCGCACTGGCACGGCTGGGCTCAGAAGGGCACTAAGGGGCAGAGCCAGCCTGGCCTGCTCAGGAGCCACTGCCCAGATGTGGCCATGGCCACAGTCCACCCTTGCTGCTGCTGCACTGGCACCCGCTGTGACGATCAGACACTGAACTGACCAGAGCTGAATGAGCCATCTCAGGGCTCAGTCGAACCTGAAGTCTACCCCACGGCACCTGAGCCAACCCTGCCCGGGCTCACCTCTGTTCCCACCTCAGGGAGACAGGGAAACTGACCATTGCAGAATAGATACATGGTCCCAGGTCCCAAACCACAAGGCAGGACTTGAATAAAGCCACTGGGCCAAGGTCACAGGTCCAGCCTCTCCAGGCCTGGGTGCGTCCCTCAAGGACCATGAGGGCTGCAAGGAGCCCTCTGAGCTGGCGCCTGCCTCTGGTTTCTGTATGAAGTGGGGCTTCCCAGGCCACTGGCCATACTGGTTACAGCACAGATATTCACACTGGTCTCCCCTGGTCTCAGAAAGCTGCAGATCCCAGGGTCCTGCTCCTGGTGGCGGCAAGCAAGGTGTCCAGGTAGAGGGGCACAGCCACCCCTTCCACAGAAGGCTCTATTCCAAGGCCACCCCTCAGCCACAGTGACACATGCCACTGAGGAGGACGCAGATATGCCTGGGAGCTGCCCCATCCTCCATGGGCCTCACACAGGTGCTGGGCCTCAGCAGCTCAGGTAGGTGGGGGACGTTCCCGAACACGGCCTGCCCCAGTGGGCCAGAGACCAGCTGACCAAGGCTCCCTGCAGGCCTGGTCACCTGTCTGTGGCCCAGGCTCTCCGCCTTGCTCTCCTTGACCATGCATCTTCATGACACCCAAGCGCCACACAGAGACACTGCTCTGCCCTCTGGGTCTGGGTCTGCCAACTCTTCCAGTGAGAGGCCGGACAGCACCATCTGAACCACTCAGCTCTGCCTTTGCAGCTCAGCAGCGGCAGAGACACCCTGAAGCCCCTAAGCATGGCCATGTACTAATTAAGCTTTGTCCCCCAGATCGGCAGTCAGTTGACTGGGCTCTGAGTCTCTCCTGGGCTGACCCTGCGTGTCCAGTGAGGTTGGTCTTCCCTGAGGCCCTGCAATCTCGCATCTGAGTGACCTTCCTTCTTGCTGTTCCGAGGGTGTATGGCCAGCACCCTCCGCTCCCGGCCCCTGGGCAGCCTCACCTCTGGCCCCCGCCTGCCTCACAGAAGGCCAGGCACCTTCTGAGCCTGCGGGGGCCCCAGATACAGCCAGGGAAGGCCCTGGCCCCTGCCACCAACGACCTCAGGCTGGAGACAGCCCCTGCCACGCATCACCAGGCTGCATCACTGCCAGGAGCCCAGGGCCCCCCGAGTTCACTGTGACAGAAAACCTCGCAAAGAGAAAGTCCCCCAGGAGATGAGCACTGGCACCGGACCTGACGATGAGTTTGGTCCCCAGTGGGTCAGCCACACAGCTCTGCTCCTCCTCGGCGCCCAGCCCAGGGCACCTCTCTGCCCTCAGAGCAGCCTCCGTGTGGCCAGGTGGAGCAGAGGCCACCTGTGCCCAGCTCTGGGAAGGCTGAAAAAGGAAGGGCTGGGAGGCCTGTGGCCCTTCCTGTGGCCTCTGCCTACGCCTTCAACTTCTTCAGGACCCAGTCCTTGGCTAGTCCTCTCCAGGGCAAGCCCGCAAGGCAGGTGGAAATCACTGGGCAGTGGCTTCCCTGCACTGTGCCAGCGCAGCTTTCTTCCTGATCTGCCAATGGGCATCAGGCACTGCCCTTTGGTTCTGTGAGCGTCTCAGCAGGACTGCTGGTGGAGAAGTCTGGCCCTGGGCAGCCTCCCTGCGCCCCTTCATCTGAGGATCCCCCCTTCTTGCAGAGGCTGGGAGCTCTGCTCGGCTTTGCCTGGCAAACCCACCACCTCTGCCTGCCTTCTCCTTTGTACTTCGTCGTGTTCACACCCCAGCTCCTTCCGCCACCTCCTACCAACCCTCTAAGCCCTGGGGCCCGGGGGGCCTGGCACATCTGCCTCTGAATTCCTCAGGCTTCTCCTGCAATTCGAGATGTGCCTGCCATTTGGACCACCAGGCTGAATCCGGTCCTATGATTTCACGATCMATTTGAGGTGCAGGATTTTTACATTCCCGGAGTATTTAAATATAATAGGTCAGATCGCCAAACCATCTGGGTATGTTTTTTTAATAAGCCAAAATGGAAATAGGAGCCTGTTCAAATAAAGCAGCAGAAGGGGGCCTGCCCAGGTGTTAGGGTTTGAATCTGGACTGTTCCCCAAGTCTCGTGTGAAGTACATGGACCCCGTGCCACCAGGGACCAGTGGGGTTCAGGCAGCAGTGGGTCCTGGGGGCTCTGGCCTCACCATGGATCAATCCACCCAACGGACCACTGGGGGGACAGTGGAGGAAGTAGGCCACTAGGGGTGTGCCTGAGAGGGTTTATCTTCTCCCTGGCCCCTCTCTTTCCGTCATCCATCTGTCTTTCTCTCTCTGCTTCCAGCTGCCATGAGCCTACTCTTTCCCCCAGGCACCCTGTGCCCTGACGTTCTGCAACGGAGTCAGCAACCATTGGCGGAACCTTTGACGCTGGGAGCCAAGGTCATTCTCTCCTCCCGCGGTGTCTTGTCAGACAAGTGGCCACAGGGGCAGAGAGCTGGTGGGCACAGTGGGTTTGGAAGCAGGGACGCCACCAACCCCCAGAGACAACACAGCTTCCCCAACTGCCTGGTGGCACGGTGCCAAGGACAAGCCAGCTGGTGCTCAGTCCTGGGCACCCAGGGGGTCTGCACCAGCCTGTGGCCCTCCCAGGGTGTCCCCCAGACCCTCAGACAGGGTGCCAGGAGGCAGGGCAGGGAAATGGGAGAGGCCCCCTTCCCAGCACAGCAGAGGTGCGGCTCGGCACCGACCCTGCCCTTCTAGAAGTGCTCCAGCCTAGAGCATGGAGGAGGCCAGACACCAGAGAGAGGCCCGGCCTCCATTGCAGCAGCGGAGGCCCTGCTCCTCTGAAGAGGGGAGCCGAGAAGCAGCCCAGGGAGGCACAGCTTTCTGCYCCCTGGGCCTGAATGGAGCCCTGGTCTGGGCGTCAAAGCAGAGAAGCGGGGCTGCTGCCGTGCCCACCTCTGTCGATGGCCTCGCTGAGAGGAGGGAGCTGTCGTCACTTCCTCCCAAGTCTCCCCAGATTTCTTGTCAGAAAACCCCGATCCCAGAAGGCAGTGCACTGGCATATTCCAAGCCGAGGACAAAGCCTGCCAGSCAAGAGTCCTGTGGCCAGCAGGGACGTGCGTCCCACAGAGGGAGACCCGGAGGCCTTCTCAGAGGCCCCA